TGGATAAAAGAACTGTTTTTGTTTAGGTGAAAGGCAGAAACTACCTTAAGCAGAAAGCATCAGCACCACACTGGCCGAATGGAAAACCCAAAGTAATCTTTCAGAGACAGGCCAAGTGCTGAGTGAATGCCAACAGCTCTAGACAGGAAAAGTGCTCCATCCATGGCTGTTTACCAGAACCAGAGTCTGAAAAGCCAGTCTAGCTCAGTCCAGACATAGCACTCCAAAAACCAGGCTAAGGATGGCCAGACTGAAAATCTGAGGTTGAAGAGACTAGCTTTAGCAGCCATGTAGAGAAGAGTCCTAACTGACGACAAAGTCCTTGAAGAGAAAGAGAAATGGTACTAGCAAAGATAGGTCTTTTAGACAGGAGTGCTAGAGAAAAGACATTCATACTCCTAAGACACTAGGCAAAAACTGAGGCAAGCTGATAATAGGTGGGATTTTCCTGGGCTGGCCTACAGTTTTATTTTGTTTGCCAGTGTCCAATCTTCCTGTAAGATGCAGTATAACCCTCAAAAGGATGAGAAATAAATAACGCATTTCGTACACAAGAGAAAGCAATTATGGTGGTATTCATTTTGAGCAACCTTCAAAAGCCATTAACACCACATTAAATAAATGACCCAAGACCCTAAATGGCATATCATCAGGTGAAACCCTTCGCAGAGCTCAAAACTGGCATAGAGCTTAACCTTCTGCCTACAAGTGTTAAATATAAATATTCATATACTACATTTCACTCCCAAAAAACACAATATACTTGAGAACTATGAGGTGTTTTTCCCCATAGTTTTCTTTTGGGTCACGGGAGGACATATACTAGCGTCCTCCCATGATCCAAAGCTCAGTATATTGCGGGGAATACACAGAGGGCCATAGCCGCGACGAATCCCGACAATACTGTCGAGATCCACCCAGCTGCGTGAGTGACAGCAGGCTCTGCCTATCTAGAGGCAGAGCCAGCCGTGCTGGCCCCCTCCCTCCTTCGTTCCTCCACTCAGCTGGATGATTAGAGAGGGTGGGGTATCACAGCGGGAGACGATCGAGAATTGAGCCGATCGGTGCATGTTTCTGCTCACTTTCCGATTGATAGAGCCGACCTGTGACAGCTTCTTTGTCACAGGTCGGTTCTAACTATGAGGATGAGTGTAAATCACTCACCGCATAAATATCCTTTAAATGTAAATTTTTAGGACTAAACATAAGTAAGCTATTTATGATATACGATATGATATATTTAAAGTGAAGGCAAATGTAGGTATATGTAAAAGTATAACAGATTAAGGTACCATCTAAAAATATGTTTAAGTGTTGTAGGAATATAAAATTAGCTTGAATGGCATTTTTTAAATCGGCTTACTCTCACACAGGTGCTCTATATAAAGCTCGATCTGTCCTCGCTTGGTCCACCACCTGTTGGGTACCAGGCTGCTTACAATGTGCTTGATGCAAATCAGGGTCAGCCGAGTCCTTTGAAAATAGTTGACAGCCACTCCTGATGTACCTGTTTACCATCACGCAGTGCCCTCTTGCATTTATACGATTTATCTGGTGCTTGGCACATCAAGAGCTGCTGTCAGCTAATTGTAAAGGACTCAGCTGGCCCAGAGATGCAGCAAACAGTTTCCCACCACCTCATGTACAGCCCTGGTCACATGGGAAAGCCCTGAAGGGGCTATCAGTCGTGCCCTGAAGGGGCTATCAGTCCTGTCCTGAAAAAACATTAAGGCCCCATTCAAATGTTGGTGCAGTGGATTAACACTGTGATGTATGTTTATGTAATGCACAGCAGACCAGAAAACACACTTGCACTACTATTTCAAATGCAGCACACGCAGTGCTTTACCTTGTGTTGCATTGGAGCTGCATTTGCAAAAGAATGGCACCTCAATGTGGTACGCTCTATTACTGAAAGCACATCTAGAACGCCACAACATTAAATCACAACACTGTGCAGGACACACAACGTGCAAGCTGCGGTAAGCTGCAAAATATTTAGCAGGACAGAAAATTTAAATTTTTCTATTGTGCGGTCGCTCTGGACCTGTCAACAGACACATTTCAGTCCATCTGTAATTTGCAAGTTGATTACCACTGGTCATATTAATGTATGTTCAAGAACAAACAATACCTGAGGAATAATTCCTTCTTTTTGCATGAAAAAGTGCTTCTTAAATTCATAGTATGGATTATACTGGTGCCATGGTTGCAGGAACTCAAACCTATCAAGACAAAGAAGCAAATGTTATAAAGTGTAACACTATAATATGAAGCAAAGATGAAAACTAAATGTAAAAGAAAACCTAAAGTGCAGAATACCTAATCCAGTGCCATCAGCAACATTGAGATGCTAACTCCCTGTGGGAAGGCTATGTCACCAGTGCTTTCCAGGGAGATCCCATCTTTAAATCATAAGATCACAGGGCTTTTTTTTTTTTAATTGTTCTTGTTTATATGTTGCCCTGCTTACAGCTCAGGCTAGTGTAATGAGCTCCGGCTAGTGTAAAGTAGCCATGGCAACATTTAAACAATAAGTGCCAGATCTCCTACAGCGCATGTGCGAGATCTGGTCCTGATGTCAATTGTGGGCCAGCAGCAAAATCGCTCAAGAAAAAGCCACCAATGAAGTCTACTATTCATGATGGCAACGCAAGCATAGAGGAGGAGGAAAAGGGAAACATTAGTATGTGGACACATACAGAACAAGGAGGCAAGACTTTCTAATTCTATTTCATTATTTTGCTATGGTAGCTAAAGTAGCATCAACAGTTTCATAAGATGAAGGGTTGATAAGGTTTGCTTAAGGGCTTACATAAAAAAACCCACTAGAATACATTTATAAATAAGTTGACCACAATTGTTCCATACAGAGATTAAAGAAATGTAACATTTAGAAGGAACTAACCTTGAATCATTTTTTGCCCGGACACTTGTCTCAAATTTAATTCCATTCCGTGCCACATACTGAGCTAACTTGTCAATCACAGGCTGTATATCAGGAGGTGGAGGAATAATGGCCACAACTGGGGCAAGTGTGCTGAAAAAAAACCAAACCAGAATTTAGACACACACAAAACATGAACACACATTGTGTGTCAAATGGCTTTCATTCATGTCAGAATTGTTTATTTCTCCATACGAGTGCAAGTCAAATGCATCTGTCAATGAACTAAAGGGAGAATGCACCTGAAAGCACGCTGCACTTGCTATAGACACAGATCTTAGATCAGTGGATGATCTGGAACAAAGCTGCAGCCTACATCAGGTCAGCCAGCACTCCAATCCGTCAGCGAGCCAGTGGGCTACGCATTGCTGCCCATGCACAGCTTTTCTGAATAGCCCCTTTTAGAGACCATGTCTATTTGCAAGCTTGTAGGCAAAAGCTTCATGATCCATGTCAAATATCTCTGCAGTTAGATTCTCAGGTTCTCAAATCTTACATGGCAATTTTGGAGATGTCCCACAATGGCCATACAATTTATCACAGAACCAAAAGGGGTGGAAACAGTCAAACCATTCTTTCAATTCACTAACGTCTAACAAATATTTGCCTCAACAACTTATCTCAAGCAATGGGAACGAATGAGAGAGGTAGAAAGTCACATAGTAAATTATAAATGTTTTAGATCCAATTAGATTGCATCTAATTGTCGAAAAATGGCAGTATGGCACCTATGCCCAGATAGTTGACATTAAAGTATTTACATATTCTTAACATACAGCAAAGGGCTTTAAAACAAGCAATCCCTGACTTTTCTAACTGTATGTACTGTTACACAATTATATTGTGCATTTATATCAGAAAACGGTCAGGCTGCCAAGATTCTTCTTCAATAGAAAGCAATAAGTAAAAATGCAAGATTAACCCAGTTATGAATTTTGAAAATGAATGAGAGCTTATTTTAGGGCCTCTGTTGACATCCATCTGACCTACTTTATGCAGGTTTCTAATTTCCATAGATTTGTATTGGAATGCAAAACTCATCTGACGTGAATAAAAGTCCATCAACTTAGGCCCTTAAAAGTACTTTTACCGTTTGTTCAGAATGTATAAATACTTTAGTGTGCATAGTTTGAGCACAGGTTCACCTTAACGAATTAAACTTTATGGTATAATGATCAAAGCCCAAGATATAGTACACGTTGGTTCATAATTCATCACATCAGATTCCCTTTAAACAAAATGTCTCTGGGTGAACTGACCCTCTCCGAATAAAACACCTGCCCCTTGTAGTGCTGTTGCAAACTGCTATAAAAAATAAAAAAAGGGCAGTCAACCCTTGAAATGCAGGGATAGCACCATTGACAACATAGAAGGGTTTTTTTGGTATCCGGAGATCAACCCCTTCATGACCAGTGACGTACAGTGTACATCACTTGCATCGGGCCCGTTTAAACTTGTAAAGCCCACTTTTGGCTTTACAGTAGAAGCAATTCTGGCGGCTCAGCTTATTGCTTCTACAGGCTGGTAAACGCCATCCCCACCTAACACCCCAGCCATGTTTCCCGGGCTCCGCTGCCTACTCCTACGGGCCCCGCTTCTCTGGTGTCGGGGGGAAGCTGGGGAGAAGTAGATCGACAAACCTCCGTTCACCGATCTCCTCCACGTACTATGGGACCGGGAGCGATGCAGATTACATCACTTCTGCTCCCATATCGGTCAGTACTGAGCTCCTGAAGCCCAGCAATAAGCTATTGAAGTGTGATCTGCACTTCAATAGCTTATTTCAAGTATAAAGGTGATACTAGAGGTCTTTTGGACCCCCAGTATCACCTTAAAGAGTACTTGTCACTGCAGATATGAATACGACAATCGCGCTACACATGTTGGGTATCGCTGCGCATGACAGAGCAATAATTCTGGGGCCAATATTCATGCGTATCTCTAAACTGATGACCTGTGGGGGCTTTTAAAGCGTAGTCTATGGACTTTTTGGGGTACTGAACTTTGTTGCAGTTTCACGGACGAACACAATTTTTAACCTGGGTATGTTTACTCGTTGTAACCTCATCTTTTATATTGTTAATGGGTATTTTGTTGTGTTTTGGGGCATTTAAGTGCATTTTTCACAACATTTTGGGATTTGATAAGGAATTGCACTAATATCGTGCAACATAAAAATTTGCAACTGCCACCATTTTATTCTATAGGGTCTTAGCTTTCAGAAAATATATAATTTTTGGGGATTTTAAGTAACTTTTAGGCCTTAAATGTGGATTATAACACAAACAACAAATGAAAAATAGGCCCTCGGTCATGGAGTTAAAATGCAAAAAGGACACCATATGGCACACTACAGCAAGAACCTCACTAATAAAGTCTGATCTTGATACATAACAGCATGATAAAAATATATTTCACTTGGAAGTTATGGTCTATTTCCTGAAAGCACAAACATTATTATTATTTTGAAAGTGATATATTTTTAGCTTGTTGCGCAGTAATTTATTTGCTTTCAATGGATAAAACTATGCACAAAAAAAAAAAAAAAGGGAGAAAATGCTGTACTTTAATTATCTACATTCCCTCTTGAACCTAATAATGTCGTAGAACATTATAAAATAGTGCACAATTGCAGATTTCCTTTTCTCTGTGTGTTCTGCTGAAAATAATAGCTGAACATCTGAAGGTACTTGTGAGCTACCTTAATAGGTAGAATTACTAAAACTATTACTAAATTTAAGTGAATGTGCATAACAGGATTTTTGTACTCAACGTAAAATCTTTTATTGGTGTTTAATAGGGGATACGAGATTCAGAGCCAACTTGGTTATACTGTCACCTTCATAGTAGGAAAATGGCAATAAAAAAAACCTGTTAGCTAGTGTTACTCCTCCTATTCCCATGATGCCTCAGTTTTGTGGAAAAGCAATATTAGTAGTGGATCATGAAGACGGGGAGAGAGGGGGAGGGGTGTTAGCCGTCCCCACTAATGGATTCTAAGTAAAGGATGCAGGCCACACATCAAATTAAGCTAACAAGCCCACAGATCAACAGTGTAACACTTGCAGTTCAAAGAGCTGCCTGAAAGACTTTACAAGCAAAGGTGGCATCAGATGATGCCTGAGCAAAACATGTGAATAAAAAACCAGGTGGCAGCAATGTAAATCTGAGACGTAGATGCCGGACGCTGAAAGGCCCAAGAGGCACTCTGAGCTTGTGGGTTTGTATTCAAAAGGAAAAGGTAAGCCTATAGGTTTGAATGATTAGCTGCCTAATCCACCTAGCAATAGTGCAATGAAAGAGGAAGGTCAGGAGTTTGTCCTGTGGGAGAAAGATCCTACACTGAGCAGTATCTAGGAGGAGTTCAGATACTCCAAATGATGTCAGTTTAATATGGATTTCTTAAGTTTCAGGGTCCAACCAAACCTTGGTAGAGTTTGCAGAGTCCACAAGGTGCCCCCGGATGGAGGCAGATAATGACTGCCCTGATAGATTCCATGCAGAATGTTTGCACTCCAATGTAAGCATCAAAGGAATTAAGATCCAGGACAGGGTGAATGCGCTCTTTTGCTTAAGGGACAAAAGATGTTGGGGTAAAAACCCTGAATCCTTTCTCATTCCATAATAGCTATATCTCCCTCACAGAGGAGTTGTGTAATAAAGTGGAGATCTGCTAGTCTCAGAGGGGATGTTAAGTTTGAAATTCAAGCTTGAAACCCCTCCATCACCCGAGTGCCCGAGATGCTTTCGGACCAGGTGGTAGCAAATGCAAAAAAAAATAAAAAAAATCTCCACACTGGAGTGGGGGTGTGCCCTGAAAGCTTTGGGAGTTTGAGTCTTGCGGTGGAACAGAGTCCCGGGGTTGGCCTTGGTCCTAATGGACTAGGAGAAAATAAAAGGAATTCTTGTTCGTTTCAGAAGTTGCCAGTTCCCATCTGAGGTTTAGCCTTTGTTCCTTCCTATGATGACATTCTTGATAAAGTTGTCTAGAGAGGAGCAAAAATACTCCATCAAAAGCATACACAGCAGGGGTCTCTTACACTGGCACTCTGCAGTTCAGCATTTGAGTAAAAGAGTTCTCCACAAATGCACAGATAGCAGGCCCAAACAACACAGTAATGCTGGGTAACTGGTAAAAGTTTCAGTTGTTGGATGGCAGAAGGATTAGTAAGGATGGATCTCGGATTCCTAGAAATATCCCTGGACCATATCCACAGGGTCTGGCAGATTGACATGATGGCAATTACAAGCTGCAGGGAAGGATGGGCCTTAGAAAAAGTGTCCAATCTATCATTCACATGATCTCTAAACTCTGGGATGTCCTCAACTGGGAAGGTCAGAATCTTAAGACAGGAAATGGCTGGGTCCACAACCAGAATGTCTTAAGAAACTCCTTCTTAATGGGGTACTGCTGAGCGAAAAGAGTAAATAATGTGTGGATTAGACCAGTCACCATACAAAACTTGTTTCAGTAGTGGGAGTACTGTGAAGATTTTTACAGTTTGGAAACTTACAAGCGAGCCTATGCTGGTAACCCTAGAGAATTCAGACACAGGATGCTCAAGCCCCAGACAGGAGCGCACTGTATAAATGGTATACTTAAGCCTAGCGGTAATGTAAGCCGACTAAGGCTCCTCAAAAAAAAAAAATAGGATTGGTTTTGTTGTACTCACTGTAAAACCCTTTTTCTCTGCATTCATTAAAGGACACAGTGGATATCATAAGATCTTGACCACCGAAAGCAGTAACTTCCGAGGAGTGGGAACAAGCTAAACAACCAGTAGAGCCCTCAGAATGAGTGACATTCAAAGGCCTGTATAATTAAAGTTAGGAAGGCAGATGTTACATCATAAAACCACCCTTGGTGAGTAAAAGATTAGAGGCACATGAAACCAGGGGACCAAAAGACCGCATTGTAATCCAGGAATAAGAGCCAGATGCTGAAGAGCCTAGGGATTTCTCCCATATGTAGACAAATGCAACAGAAAAGGGTAGAAAATCTTAATGGACTCTCACAGGGACTGTTAACAGAACAGACAGCACCTTCAGGCAATGAAGATATCCTTCCGAGGACATGAAGTAGAAAACAAGGAACAAAAAAGACATCTCAGTGGAGGTGAAGGTCAAGGTCAAGGTCAAAACCACTAAAAAAGGAAAAGGCTCAAGACCCTACTACCACCTGTCTCATTGTAGGACCAGAAAATAACTTACAAGATAAGACTGCCAAGAACATACCATGTCCTGCTGAAGTAACCACAACCAGAAATGTAACGCCATGAGCAAGAGCAAAAAGGCATCAGATTCAAGTCTTCTAGAGTCGATGACTGAGGAAAAAAGCTTCCTGAGAAACACCACTTAAAAAAGAACAATAAAAGGGGAGACTAGTAAATGCAAGGCCAAGAAACACTCTAGCAGGGTACTCAGGCCCAAAGTTGATCCAATTATACTGAAAAAAACAAGGGGAACATATCCTTCCCCATAAAATATGTCCAGTGATGCAGCTATGATCCAAGATATTGTCCTAAAGGAGGTGTGCCAAAAGCAGTTACTCATAAAATCAGCTACAGAAGCAAGGAGAGGTATCTGGACATCAGTGACCAAGTCATATAGGCAGCCGCAAGGAACCTGATGTCCAGTTCAAGAAGAGGAGCATGGCAGTGGTGCTGTACACAGGGAAGGCAGGATAGGCAGTGAGTGAGGAAGGCCATGTGCACTAGATGTAATAATGAAAATGGACATGCAAAGCTGCAACCTATGCCAGCAAAAGATCAGCAAGGTGCCCTGTGTAGCACAGCCCTGAACCTGTAAAACCCTCTGGGGCTAACTTACACAAAAAATTAGGTGACCTAGAAACTGCCCAAGCAGAGCCTAGTGCCTAAGGATCACCATTACAGGTGAGCCCTGCATCTTCTTCACTGAGGAATCTGGCTACGGCTTCTAAGGCTCTGCCAAGGAGTGGCTGATCCACAAAACTGCATCCAGGAGCTCATTAGACTGTGCAGTAAGGTCAAATAAAAAAGCTCTTGATAAAAAGTGGTAGTATAAACCAATTGTCTCTGATTCCTTAAATGAACAATCAAGACATTTTTTGACCGGTAAAAATAATTAGAAAAATGGTCCGAACCATTATATTTACTCTTTAATATAGGCACCACAATAAAATAAAAAAATCACGAATAAATCATTTTAAAAAAAAATCTAAATTAAAGCACAGTTTAAGCAAAAATTCTTCCTTTCCCAGAGACAGTAATTTTTAACTCTTCCGCAGCATCCAAAATTGAAACAGGCTGGAGTTAAGCAATAAAGCATAATGTTTTATATAGCTTTTGTTCTATTGCACAACGAGAGAAAAAGCATCTTTACCTGGAAACCGAATTTATTTATACCCATGTTTAAAATGGACATTTCATGATCAATATAACACACTGATGATGGGTTTATTGTTATAAAATGTTACTGTAATGAACTTTAGAGAAGCACACTTGTTAAAGCAGAAAAGGAGAACAGGGACATGGACAACTCATTCACAAGATCAGAGTCCGCAGCTGGTGAAGAGATTACACCAATTATAAAGTTTCACCCCTAACCCAGGCGTAGGCAAATGAATGTAGCATTTAAGAGCGAGTCAGTCAAATCTAGTAACCGGCAATAACTTTTAATGAGACAAAGAATAAGTGCTTCAATTAACAAAATAAAAAAGTTAATACAAGTTGAACATAAACTATGATTTTTTTTAATCATATTTTTTAGACCAACTGGCTACATGGACCTGGAAATGTAACCCAGCCCTACCATAATCACTAATAATAATGCAATCTACCAGGCAAAAATAAAATATGGCAAGAAATTAATACAAATTACAGAACTTACAAAAACATGCTTTAATATATAACAGTAAATGTGTTATGCTGCTGCCCTACCATCTATTTTGACACACACACACTATAATTAAAAAAAATGCATTCCAGGTCTTAAGAAATGTGCTGGAAATTTCCTGAGAAGTGATTTAACTTTTCTAAAAATATCTTTACCTTGTTGCACCCAAACCAGCAGTTAACCTGTTGCTGCTGTCAACGCTGTTTAGAGATGGCAAGATGGTAGTTTGTGGAGCAGGAATGGCAGATTCTTTTGTACTCTCTGTATTTTCTCCAGCAGTTATTGAACTATAAGAAGCACTGGCATCCACTGCTGGTGGGGGAGGTGCAAGACAGTATGTTCCATCAGGTAGCATGTAGTAATTATAATATGTAGATGTCACAGTTGCTGTAAAAAAAAAATGAAAACAAATCCTAGTTTAATCAATTTTTTTTAATGCCTTAAACCTAGAAGAAATAAAAATCACGCTGCCACAGTTTTGCAATACTTCATTCGACAGCCAGAATTTGTTTTCAACAACTACCTTGAACTTACAAACAAATGTGGAAGGGTCTCCATCCCATCTAAATCATAGTACAGCGTAGTACAAGTAAATAATGCTTTATTCAGATAATAACTAACATTACAGGAAAATACCAGTGATCTACAAAAAGCGAATAAATACAGCAGATGTTGTAACATAGTTATCTCGTTAGAAGTAGGTACTTCTATTTTCGCAAACAGTTAAGTGTTTGCAGGAACCATGTTTAAAGGGAATACTTCAGAAAGGACAAACATCTTTGGTAAACTGAGAACATTAGGTTAGGAGTACTTCATGATGTTTTGAGGCAATTGAAAAGCATTTAAATTACCACTTTTAATGTATTAACTTAGGGACCACAATTAATTCTGATTTTCAGCATTGCATTATTTTAACCAATCATTGTATTTATTTATATATGTGAAATTGAAACGGTTTGAAAAAAGGGCTATCTATAAGAAAACTGAAGCAAATGTAAAATCTTTAATAAAAAAATAAAACGCACATCCTGTCCCTGGGTAGCAGCTTTTAAATATCTATGTCTATGGAGTGCACTATGGCTTCTACTAGGGATGCTCCGGTACTGGTATTGATGCAGAGGTTATTGTTGGCGAGTGCTAGCTTCTTAAATCCAAGCTGGATGGATTTGTCTATGTTTATGGACTTCAACCATGTTTACCTTTGTTCATCTCCAATAATTGAAAGTTGGTGGGATTAGTAAGTTTACACAAACAAGAGAACATTGTCTTATGCATCCAGGTCAGCTCACAGAAAGTGACAAGGACACTGCATTTTTGGCCAAAACTCTTGCATCCACCACATTAACCACTTGCCGTCCGCCCGTTGTAAAAAAAGGACGGACGGCACTGCAGCATTGGCGGGTTGCCGTCTCCAGACGGCATTTTTTTTCTGCTCGCGCCCGCCCCCTGGTGGGCACGCAAGTATGCTGCAATGTATTATATTGTTGTTCTTGGGTTTCGGTATTTTTACTAAAAAAAGCAACATTTTTCAAACTTCCTTCCAACCACATTCTAAATATTTATTGACCAGACATAACAAAACACTTTCAATTGTATATTTAATAGACCAAAGGGTAGCAAATAAGGGTTACTAAAATGCATTGTTATGGTTTACTTTACACCCAATGTTTTCTTTGATTTCTGCAATAGTGAATTTCCAACAAAGATTTGAACAAGCTGAGGCTGTATGAGAGAACCCAGGCTAGTAACCTTAGGTATAGAGAACACAGGTTGTTGACTGTAGGCACATGCGCAGTCAGTAAGGGCCGAAATTTTATTCTTAATTGTATTTCATCTTTTGCAGCCAAATTGGACCACCACTTAATTTTATATTTCTTACATGTTACCATTCACATCGCATAGGCTAAAAAGTAAAAAAATATTTTTACTTGCTATATAGGTGGCAAGTAGCAGTGGCCATCTTTAAACCTGGCAGGTGCCCAGATCCTAATATATGGCCGAACTGGCAATATATTAAATAAAAATCACCCAGTGGAGGATCAGAATGATCTGCATCTCTTGCTGATGCAGACCAGACTGATCGCTCCCTTGTGGTGCCATTGTTCACATGAAGGAATGATAGTATTGTCTGCCTCCGGCAGAGATGCAGATCACACCGATTATTTACTGGACCACAGGATAATCTTCCCACTGCCCCGCTGGACCCCAGGGAAGCAGCCCCCTCCCTGCAAAACAGGTAAGCAGGAGAGGAGGCAATTTCTTATTCATTTTTATTGTTTATAGTTATGTGTTTTATTGAGTGTGTTTGATGTATGTTTTTTTAATGAAGATATGTGTGTGTTTTTAATAAGTGTCTGATGTGTTTTTTTTTTTTTAATGAGTGTGTCATTTGTGTGATGTGTGTGCTTCATTATATGCATAATGTATGTTTCTTTTTAGTGTGTGATGTGTTTTCTAATTAGTGTGTGATGTGTGTGTTTTAATGTGTCTGAGATGTGTGTTTTTTATTAAGTGTATAAATGTTTGAATATGTGCGTTTCCCTATTTTGCCTAAGGCAGTGATGCTGAGCGCTTTTTAAACCCCAGTTCGCAACGCAATACCAAACTTTTCAATGTTGGCACTTTCAGATAAATTGATTTTGTGTTGGTTTGGACACTCGGGTTCAGAAATGTTAACCATCACTGTACTAGGCTGCCCTTGCAGCTTTGTATGCCAGTGTCCAATTTCCTGAAGGCAGCAGCATATCCCCTATGTACCAGAATTACTCATCCTGTGTCCCTTAATTACGATTAAGCGCATGGGCATACATAGAATTACAGCCCAAAGTATGGGGATACCACGTGTGTGAGACTTTACACTACCTAGCCACACAGAAACCAAAGAGCACATTCAGACTTTCAAGTAGCAAAAATTATATATCTGATTTTTGTGACTACCCATCACATTTTCAGATGCCCTGAAGTGCAAGGACAGTAGAAAACCCCTCAAAATGACCAGTTTTGGAAAGCAGACACCCCATTTCCTAGGCTGTTTTTTTTTCACAAGGAACTCTTCATCCTCTATATCAAAGGTGGTCGTTAATGTACCACTGTTTTCGGTGAGGTTTTATCACTGCTCTCATCAGTCATATTATTCATTTTAAATGCCTCCTTACTACTGTACATGTTGTGGACATTGGGACAGCACAGCAAAAAAACGTGCACCAAAAAAGGAAAACACTGGCGTTGGCTATAATCAGCACTGGCTGCAATTGGCAAACAGAAAACACTGGCACTTGCTGTGATGAGCAAACTAGAAACAATGGCACATGTTTTGATTAGAAAACTGGAACCACTGGCACTTGCTGTGATCTGAAACCTGGGAGCACTGGCACCTGCTGTGATCTGAAACCTGGGAGCACTGGCACCTGCTGTGATCTGAAACCTGGGAGCACTGGCACCTGCTGTGATCTGAAACCTGGGAGCACTGGCACCTGCTGTGAAAAGAAAAATTGTAAGACTGTCACTGACTTTGATTATGTGTATTTTGTGCACTGTAATATGAACTGTCAGATCAGCAAAAATGTCTTATAAGCAGCCAGCTCTCTTCTCTTCCTACTCACACTTGCTCCGTGTGTGAGAGGAAGGGGAGAGCTGGCTGCTGATCACAGCCAACTGTCACATTTGTGATCACTGTAATAGGTTGCAGCAATCACAAGGTACAGAGACACTCTTAATGGCTCTGTACTTTCTGCCTGTGATCAGCGCAGCCCAAGCATTTGTCATTGTTATGACTGGTCATGGCGATTACAAAGTACAGAGCCACTTTCACGGGCTCTGTACCTTTTAACTGTAATTTACGCTGCCCATGCACTATGCGCACACCGGCACAGGAATAAAGTACCCTTTAACCCCTTCGTGACTGACGACGAACAGTGTACGTCGCCAGCATCGGGGCTGCTTTTGCCGCTGGGACTCCGTTTAAACTTGTAAAGCCGACTGTCGCTTCTGTGTCCGGTAGAAGGCCCTCCCCGCACGCTTCCCGGGCTCTGTTGCCCCTCCTACGAGCCCGGGACCGGCTTCCTTCGTGTCGGCGGGGAGGAGATCGACGAACTTCCGTTCATCTATCCCCCCCCCGTTCTATGGGACCGGGAGCAATGAAGATTGCATCACTTCCGGTCCCTGGGCTGTCAGTTCTGGGCTCCTGCAGCCCAGCTATAAGCTATTGAAGTGCGATCTGAACTTCAATAGCTTATTTCCGGTGTAAAGGTGACACTGGGGGTCTTTTGGACCCCCAGCATCACCTTAAAGAGTACCTGTCACCACCATCTGCTATCACGTGATACTTTGACTGTGATAGCAGTCAAAGTAAAAAAAAAAAAAGTTTTTTAAATTAAAATTAACTAAAATAAATCTAATAATAAAAAAAAAATTTAAAAGTCCCCCGCCCCCGTGAGCACGCGTGTCGCCACGTAAAACACGCATCGGGTGCTCCTACATATGAAAATGACGAACGCGATACACATGTTGGGTATCGCCGTGAGAGCAATAATTCTGGGGCATCTCTAAATTGATGACCTGTGGGGGCTTTTAAAGTTTCTTCTATGGACTTTTTGGGGTACTGCAGTTTTTTGCCGTTTCACGGACGCACACAACTTGTAACCTGGGCATGTTGGGTATCATTTTACTCGTTGTAATCTTTTATATTTCATTAAAAAAATTGGTATTTTGTTGTGTTTTGGGGCATTTAATAAAATTTTTCACTAAATGTTGGGGTTTAATAAGGAGTTGCGCTAATATTGCGCAACATGGGTGGACATTTAATAAGGAGTTGCGCTAATATTGCGCAACATAAAAATTTGCAACTACCACCATTTTATTCTGTTGGGTCTTGGCATTCAGAAAATATATCATGTTTGGGGGTTTTAAGTCATTTTCAGGCCTAAAATGTGGGTGCAAAAAAAAAAAGGCCTCAGTCATGAAGGGGTTAAATATTAACTCAGAAGAGGAAGTCACTTGCACCAGTCGTTTAACTACAACGTTCAGAAGTGGGGTGGTAAATGAGGGGTATATCACACAGAAATGCCTAGATTTTCTGGTCCATCTACAATTATACACAGAAGATAAGGCTGGGACAATACCCGAGGAAAAAAGATCAGTTCTAATCAGCTGATTGGAATTTTGTAGTTATTTTGCGGTGACCAGGGTAAAAAGAGGGCATATATATTGCATTTATCCTTTATAACGATTAGCATTGTCCTACAGGCTTCTTACAACATTATCTCCCCAGCTCTGCTTCACCATTCCTGCTGCAGAGTTTAAAAGGTCTATTAAGGGGTTATAGCTGCATATGCAGCAACCTATATGGAACATGTAGCAAGATTGAGATTTCCTTATACCAATTTTGG